GTGTATTGACGACGTATTTCACGCAACAATTTGACCTCTCGAGAGCCCGACATGCAATTCTTTGTAGAAGGTACTTGAACACACTAATATGTACATGAAAGCCACACTCGACACCGAGTGGGAAATCCATGGAGATGCCAAATGTAACAAAATTAACGTAACATTTAGGTCGAAAGTTCACTCCTTCCGATTGATCTTGGCGTTCCGTCCTCCACTGAACCTGCCTACTCACATATTCAAAGCCGTATGAAGAAATATTGCGGCAGGACAGATTGTTGCTACTGCGACCCTAAAAATATACCAGCGAATGTGTCGGTTCACTCATGGTTAGTAGAGCGTCCAGGACATGCACAAGAATGTGTCGTAGAAACGAATGGACTTCTCTACAAACGAATAGACGAACATCGCAGAGCGCCAAGAAATTCCTGGTCTCATCCTAATAGCAGATACCTTAACACATTCACGACGACGCCCCTTTTCCACTTTTCGGTCGCGTGGGACGGACGCGATTTTGTGGGCGCCGCCGCCTCACCACATAACCGCAGATTTTGTTTTGTAAATGAACAAAAACATGAATGTCACAAAATAATTTCTGCAATGTCCAATGCGTAAAGATTATCTAAATACACATAACAGTAGGATTTCGGGGTACCCGACAGGAGGCCCGTCGCGCGGCAAGAAGGCAGAGTCAGCGGACGAGTCGCAGCGCTGTTGTGCGATGTAGAACGTACTAGAACGTACATTCTATTTAACCTGTGAAATGATACATTCTATTCAAGGCGAAATCCTTACGGTACGTTCTGCAATTCGTCCGCTGACTCTGCCTTTATGCCGCACGGCGGGCTTCCTGTCGGGTACCCAGAACTTCGATCAATAGACGAGTAGTCGTAACGAAAAGAGAGCATTTATTCACTTTCCCCGTGAAGGAATTTAAAAGCATTTTACACTCGATTACGAGATTTACCCACCTATCTGTCCATTCCTAGCGCCTGGCAAGCGATTATCAGCCCCATATGGGCTGCCATCGTCCCAGGAGCACATGTTGTTGGCAGCCCATATGGGCGGCCATCGGCGTGAATGTGTTAAACACGGTGTAGGAGCAACATGCACAAAAAGGTCCTCCCCTCATTCATTATGGTGCTAAAACACAGAAAGGGAAATAATGGAAGCTCCCGAGGCTAAAATGGTTAGCACTCTAAATGAACAGCAGGGCTGAGCTACCCCTTCGACCTTGGCGCAAATCTCTATCTCTCAGATCTCTGCGACCAGGGTAATCCTATTTCTTCGTCGGGGTAAGTTTGACAATTACTAAAGCAGATTGAGGTCGCTGAGTGTGAGATGACATACAAAGTGTGAAAGCACTATTCGAAGCATGAAGTTGTTGTTTTTGGGATTAAATCGGTTGAAGCTTTTGAGATAACATTTGTAGCCTCAAAGTGTTGTTCAACGTTAACACGTTGACGACATCGCGCGTTTTGTGCTTTTGCACCCCGTGGGACAAGAGCGATTTTGCGAGCGCAGCCGCCGCACACCAAATTCCATGATTTAAGTTGTAAATCCGCAATACTTAGATGCGATGAAATGTTTTCAATGATGTTCGATCTGTCTAGCTTATCAGGAGTTACAGTAATGGAAGTTTGACCGAAATGACGTGTTAAGGCCATGAAAGGGAAATTTTACTTAATTTCCCTTTAGTGGTTGTTGTTTCAGTAACACCACAATATCGTTTCCGACATAGGTTTGTTTCGCTTCTATTATTCCTTTTTATCAACATGTTTACGTTAATTAAAAAGAAATGAATTGAACAGACATATCCGTAAGGTCTGGAAAACCTCTGCCAAACTAAAGAATATTTGGCCTTTCTGTGAGCCATGTGGTTTTTAAGTATGCTAATGTATGAGTGTAAAGACCTTAGGAATAAGTCGCACAAGAAAAGGGATGACTTGGGTGCAGGGTCAACCGCCCGTTGCGCAAAGAACAACGAGGGGGTCGTATTCTGCCGAACGAAAAGGGGGGGGTCGTATCCAGAGAGACGGCGCTGCAAAACGGCTTGAAAAGTGCAGTGTCCGGCAGTGCACTTTCACGCTCTAATGTTCTCCAGGAGCTCTGCACCGCGCAGCTGTCGGAGAGTCACACAAACAAGAGAACTCCATGGGAGCATTGGAGCATGCAGAGCATTATAAAATCTCACCTATCAGCCATTATTATCCTCAATACACGGACGGCGCTTTCACTCGACAGCATAGATCAAGATTACAATAGCCAAAAACTTTGTTACAGCGTAGTGCAAAAACATGGTCTGTCTTCGATGATCGAACATTCCTGAAATCCCAAGGAGAACAAAGTGTAGAGCAGTTCATGGGAGTGAAACAAGAGTACCATATGACAGTACATTGCAACTCAGTCACGATACTAACACCTTCTTCAGGAAAATGGAGGACTTTCAAAATGCGAGTGCGACTTCTGTCCACAGACAGGTGCACGGCGTATACCCGAGCAGGCGTTTTCCCACAAAAACGCCTTCTCTGTCAGCGGCCGTAAGCAGACAAACTTACAAGAAAATTTTGATGCTTTCAAATCAAATCTAAGCGGAACAAATTGTAGCGAACTTGCTGTATTGAGTTCTAGAAACCCCTTAGGAAATTAAGGCAGAAAAAAGAACTTCAGGGGTTTTATACCATTTTCGAAGTACTCTTCGAGTAGATTCTAACAGACTTCACCGCTTCTCAACAAATCAATTTGAAGGAAGTTATGAGCCTTTGGACTGCATAGTCGCGGTCCAGGAAAATGGCTTGAAAAAAAAATCAAGGTGGAAAAACGGAACAACGGGACTATTTTTTGAGAGAAGGATCGTTGAAAAAAGTGAGGTACTTTTTTGGAAGCATCTAATCTCTAGTTTCTAATTAGCCTTGAACATATGCAAAAAGTAGGTATGAAGAAAGTTATGAACGTTTGAATGTCGAAAACTCGCGCCTTCTCAAAAATCGGACCACAAACCACCCAAAACGGAACAACGGGACTATTTTTTGAGAAAATGATCGCTGGAAAATTTTCAGGTGCTTGTTCGAAAGCTCTAATCTTCTAGTTTCTAATTAGCCTTAGAACACATCTGCAAAAAGTTGATATGAAGAAAGTTATTAACGTCTGAATGTCGAAAACTCGCGCCTTCTCAAAAATCGGACCCCAAACCCCCAAAAACGGAACAACGGGACTATTTTTTGAGAAAATGATCGCTGGAAAACTCAGGTATCGTTTTTGAAGTATTTGGTCTTTCTATTACTGATCAGTGCTTGAACATATGAAAAAATCCGCTAGAAGAAAATTTATGAACGTCTGATGTCGAAAACTCGCGCCTTCTCAAAAATCGGACCCCAAACCCCCAAAAACGGAACAACGGGACTATTTTTTGAGAAAATGATCGCTGGAAAATTTTCAGGTGCTTGTTCGAAAGCTCTAATCTTCTAGTTTCTAATTAGCCTTAGACATTTGCAAAAAGTTGATATGAAGAAAGTTATGAATGTTTGAATGTCAAAAACTCGCGTGTGCACAGAAAACGGAACAACGGGACGATTTTTTGAAATATTGAACATCCGCAACATTTCAGGTACTTTTTAGGAAGAAATATTCGAATTTTCAAAATTTTGGTGTCCGGTTCCATGAGAGCTTCTGAAGAAAAATATAACCTTTTGAATGGAGGGGTTTGAACTGCAACGTAATTGCTACAATGTTTAGTTTTCAGATTATAAAATGAGGAATAATTGAGAGACGATAAAATTATAAGATTTTAGAAGAAGATCGAAAAAAAACTTGGTAGGTTTCTGAAAGTAGAAATCTTTGTGATTATTATCATGTATTGGTTTACGCAAAAATTTGGAAATTCCTTCTATTTAATGAATAAAACTTCATGTTGCCTCGATTCCCTCCTCTGAGCGAGACAAAGCGCGCGGATTGACCACGGTCCACCACTTCTCCATGTTGGTGACTGCCCACACATCAATGATGAGCATTAAATTATGTGAAAGACATAATAGTTAATATGGGGGGTCGTACCGATACCCTCCGAAAAGGAAGGGGGTCGTAAAAATTTTGGAATTTGCGCAACGCAGGGTTGACCCTGCTTGGGTGGTCACAATGTCCCACGACGGGACGCGTTATCGCGTCACGCTGTCGTCAACGTGTCAAAATCACCTTGTGGCTTCCGCAGCGCCAGACTGAAATGTGCTGAATTCTCGAATGTTTTCCTTGTTTACTTTTTCTGCGACGATACGCTGTAAATATTGGAAATAGTTAGCGTTGAGGTGTAATTTGATCTTATAGGTGGATGTGTTCCGCGTTAGCATAAACTGTAGCTTTCGCGTGAAAGGTCAAACACGGCATAGATAGAAAATTTTTATTTAATCGTGAAAAGTTGTAGCAGTGAAAAATTGTCCAAAAAAGGGAGGGAGTCAGGAAAGCGAATAAATATGGACTCTCGTCAATAGTTAGAAAAGCTTTCTCTCGCGGAATGGCTCGATCACGCTAGGCTCTTTGCGCGAAGGTTATTACGGTTCTTAGGCGTTGATCCCACGTCGATGCGGAAATCGCAAATGTGTTGGGGTAGTTAGAACTTAATCCTGTCCATACCGAATTTGTCGGGTCAGCTGCTACCGCAGCTTTCAAAATTTGTCGAAGCGTCGACGACCACGACAAACTCACGGCTTCACAATCCGGGGTGTGTAGCTTATTGCACCAATGTAATAAACGCTGGGCCGACTTCCTGTACTGTTCGAAAACCTTTTTGAAGTCCCCGAGGCTCGACGATAAGGGATTGTTTCCGATATTTCTAAGAGCAGCTATTATCGGCTGGAATCGGTATGAGAATGCAGAGGAGGATTGTTTGCTGGATTTCTCCAGATCTCCAATAGCACTCTCCAATAACTTCTTTGCTTCCAATTCCGATAAACGTGGCGATGTTATCGCTGTAACCATTGTAGAAGACGTGGGAGAGCTTCTCGTCACTGAAGTTGGAGAAGATGTTTCCAATCCATAGGGCGGCTTCTCAGTGAAAGACGAGACTGCAAAGAAAATGAGGGAAAATAAGGGAAAATACAGAAATATGACTTAGAGTTCTTGTGTGAGCTCATGAGAATATAAGGATCTATTCGGCTATTTTAGAGATTGCTGCCGCCATGGTTTCCTTTGCAAGCACTTACCAAGGGATTTGAGTGCAGGGAGTTTCGCGATAAGATAATCTCTTGAACTCTGTGGTAATGCTTTGAAACTTGTCCAGAATTCTAGAATGATTATTGGAGAAATGTGATAGCGACTAGAAGAAGTTACAGAGAACACCCACGTCTTAGTCTCCAACTGTCTTGTGATTTCTAGATCTCGTGCCTGCCGGGCGGTCAACAGTACCTGAAATCAAGTAAAGTGAAACCATTATTGAAATATCCATGCGACAGCATTATACTCACAGCATCGATGAAGTGCGAAGCAGCCTTGTCTTGTGCATCAATTTCTCGATAAATTTTTCGAAAACTCGTCATTTTTGAATAAAGTGTTGGATTGAGTCGTTGTAGTTCTTCATCATACTTTACCTAAATGGTACCCTGCAGTTTGGCTGAATGCGTAATATGTATCAGTTTGGATATGATTCGTTTCGTTTCACTTACAAGGGAGGTCGTTCAGGGTGTGGGAGCGCTTTTTCAAAACGGTTTTTGCATGCTGTAGGGGCTCTCACGTGGACTACAATACTGTGTTTCATTTTCGCTGAGCGGCCCCCTGAAGGCCAAAAAAGGGTCGAAAAACTCCGCGGTGGATCTTGCACCCTTGGAGTAGCGTTTCGGACTCATGGAAAAGATCACCAGCATATCGAAGGGCTGATAAAGATGATATCGCAAACAACGTCAGATTCCCTTAAAATTGGCGTTCTGTCAGTGGTAGTGCTGAAGGTGTGGAGGTTATCTAACCACTCCCAGCGACCTATGGTTTGAAACTTCTCAGCAGTTACAATATTATATTTACAGTGAATAGGCTCCTCAGGGTGAAGCGCCTCAAGGCGAATCCGTGGCCTGCTCACCTACAATACAGTGCTATTACGACTGTGGAGTAGTTTGGAAAAATTTTAGTGAAGCAAAAAAATTGTCGAAATTTCTGCTATGTCGTATAATTTTGCAACGGCCGTTTTTTCAAATTTTTGATCCTAGATTTCTGGAATTTGACAAATCTGTTTGAAGATTCTCATTGTAGGTTTCTTTACACGCTGAATCGAATGGCATTAGCCATTTTCGAGCAGAGCTTCTCGCAACTTCAGAAACTCAAAATTTGAGGGTATGTCGTATAGTTTTGCAACGGAGTGTAGGCTTAGTCCCAAGAATGCCCGTGTTTTGCAATGCGACAGGGATATCTTGCTTTCGAGTGGTAAACAGGCAACCGACGGTGATTCCTTAATAGTGGGTGAAATTATCCTAACTCCTAATAATACTGTAATCTGGTGCTGCGGCTCGAGAGTGCGTGAGAGAGATAGGGCCTTATCATGTGAGCCTGGGCAAATGTGAGCAAATGTATGTGGTTTCACGCTCCCGTCTACGCCCCCCGCACTCCTCCCCACATACCACCGCGAACATCCCGACCCAGTAGACGAGCTATGCTCATAGATAAATAGCTTTATGCCGTCTAGCCTTTGACATGAAAATGGGGTTTGGGGAAGGGAGGTGGGGCTTTTTCTTATCCTACGCTTCGATCTAAAAAAGCACCCCTTCGAGCTCCTGAACACTTAGGAGACAGTAGCTGTATGACTCAGTTGGTGTGTACTTTCGCTGAGGACCGTTGAGTGTCCTACATCACGTACGCCTACCACCGCTTTTTGATCGTCCACACTGGAGATTTTCCAACCTCAGGCCTAGGCAAAGGTGTCTATCCCTGATTCAGAGCCACATTCTTGGACCATTGCAGGCGGAATCATGGGAGCTCTAGGGCCACTTTCCACATCACCGCTATATATCAGGAGTATGCTGCAAAAGAGACGATCACATGCCATAAGCGCTCTCATTCTTATCTTTAGCAATGAGAAGCCCTCGAATGTGCCCTCCCCATCGCGGATCTTTCTTTTCACATCCTTATTTTTTCCATCCATCATGCGCGGTGTGCCAAAATTGCTCATACTCTTAACTCGCAGTCAGATCTAGGGAGTTTTGACGAGGTGGTCGCCGCACTTGATAGAAGTTGCGCGGATAAGCTGCTTCGACCATCCTTAGACTGCTTCATAGTTCGCGACTCCGGAGATTAGGATAGTACGCGACAAGACATCACAGCGGAGAGTGACCTTAGAGATGTGCTGAGTTAACATTTCTTTTTTTTCTGTACGAAATCCCACAACGTTGCCTAACCGTTCGTGTTTCAGCAGGGTACAGCACAGCTGGTATATTGAAGGTGACTCCGCAGCACGTAAGAACGCCAGCTCTGATCTCAGCAGCGGTCAATGCCGCCCAATAAAAAGTACTTACAATAGTTGAATACAGTTGATTATTTAGTGCTAACCTTTTCAGAGATCGAGGCCTGCTCGTAACAACACCACTCGGCCGCAGTACAGAGAGCGAATCTGCCGTACGTTTAGGAAGGAATTATTCGGATAGCCTCGGCGCCAACGGATGGACGACCCTTCTCATAACCTAGTGGCTGAGGGCGCCTTAGAGAGACACTTTTCAGATGATGAAGTTGAGTACGGTCCTGTGCATTTTATTTCGTAACTTCTTATAAGGCAGAGGGCAGTTATATTGTTCAACAGTTCTATCAAGGATACGAAGTTATTACGATTTTGGCGCGACTTGCAGAGTCTGGGACGACGCAAAGCATAGTTACAGTGAAAAATTCCTGTATAGTCAGAGGATCCCCACGAGTAGGTTACTGTAGAGAGCCCTATTGGTATACTAATCGTAGTGACACTTCTTACGCCACCTGGCCGTTGCAATGATTCTTGTGCCCAGCCGCTAAGTGAGACAACAGTGTCTCAAAAGTCGTGTCAGCCACTGACTGACTGCATGAGTGATAACATGATGGTGACTACGACAACGAAAGACCGAGCTTTTGATCCACGGACCGCCCATGTGGTAAGCAGCGACCCTGGCTATTGGACCCCTTGGAAGTGCTATAAAAGCCAGATAGTGCTATTAAAGAACGATTCAGGGTAAAGTGAATGAGAAACCCTGAGGAATTCAAGAAATTCAGTGATCAAGTGAAAGTACGAAATTAGAAACTTGCGATTGTGCAATAATGCTAATGTTTTCCTGTGATTCGCATTGTTGTCTTTCGATCTGCAGAAATTGCATTCCTCAGGCTCAATCTCAGATTGCTGCCAAACGTATGTAGTAACGGTGTGACTGATGTTGACTAAAATATTACTAAACAAAAAATCGGCTCGAAAAGCACAACTAAATTGAGGAGAGGGAGAAATGATTACATTGTGTCATCCACTGCCGCCGCTGCTTCCTGCGCTGAATCCACCAACCCCTTAAAAGGAGCCAGACATCGACATTTGAAGCTTCAGCTTATCCTCACAATGTCTCTCCTTGTGGGATTGCTGCTACTTTGCTTTTTCTTCGACCCCCACATGTTCGCAGCGGCAGAGTAAGTGCTCTTATTGGAAAACTTCCGCAGTCGAGCAAACCATGTTTTCAGTTGATTCCAACGACTTACTCTACGAACTCTTCTTCGATAAGCAGGGGTGATAGCGCGTCCATGGAGCAACTCATGCGACAACACACAAGCAATGGTGTGGTGGACAGGGTTTGATTCTTCGCCTTCTCACTACCAAATTCTCATCATTTCTGAACTACTCTCAGTGCAGTCATAAGAAGAAATTCACTGTAAATATAATATTGTAACTGCTGAGAAGTTTCAAACCCTAGGTCGCTGGGAGTGGTTAGATAACCTCCACACCTTCAGCACTACCACTGACAGAACGCCAATTTTAAGGGAATTCTGACGTTGTTTGCGATATCATCTTTATCAGCCCTTCGATATGCTGGTGATCTTTTCCATGAGTCCGAAACGCTACCCCAAGGGTGCAAGATCCACCGCGGGTTTCTTCGACCCTTTTTTGGCCTTCAGGGGCCGCTCAGCGAAAATGAAACACAGTATTGTAGTCCACGTGAGAGCCCCTACAGCATGCAAAAACCGTTTTGAAAAAGCGCTCCACACCCTGAACGACCTCCCTTGTAAGTGAAACGAAACGAATCATATCCAAACTGATACATTATACGCATTCAAAACTGC